ATTTAGCTCAGCGGCACAGCGCCTGTCTGGCAAGCGCGAGGTCGTGAGTTCGATTCCTGGTACCGGAAAAAAAACCAAAACCGAAAAAAAAACCAAAACCTGAATAGTTTCCCATCTCCTTGGCTAGTGCCCATGGCTAATACCTTATGTTGTGGCAATCCAGACATGGTACCAGACATGCTACACTTGACGGTGCTGTCCACGGTGCACAAGGGCTGAGACAGCTTTGTGTACTGACTGAGTACAAGTAAGAGACATGAATGCTGCCATGCAGGTGACCCACACTTCCTCCTCAAGGAGCTTAAACTTTCATGGAGGTCACACAGAGAGACAAAGAACTCTAATACATGAGTAGGAAGAGAACAACTTCAAAGGAAGTGAAGATTTCCAGTGAGAGTTATCAAACCCGTGAAATGGGTTACGGAGAAAGCTTGTGGTCTTCCTTTTCCTCGAAATGCTAGCTGTAACAGACAAAGTACCCACAGCGGCTAGAGTTGACTTCTAGGAGACTTGAGGATGGTCTGGGAGCCTCCTGGCTCTGCTCTACTGGTCCATTTACCTGGGCCATCTAGTTTGCCTTCCAGGGTGGCTGTGCATTCCAGACTTCAAAAGTAAAATTAGTCATGCTAAAATATTAGATAGTTCTTCTTTTCTTTATCTAAACTCTATCTTGTTAAATGTTCTTGTTAACAGAGAAGCTTGTTTTACAATTTACCTTTTGCAACATTCAAATATAGCTTTTGTAAATTTGCTCCTCTCTAGTAGTTTAGAGTAAATTAGTGATACAAGAAAACCCCAAATAATGGGAAATGTTAACCTTTTTTCTAAAAGATGGTGTATACAATATTGTGTAGCAACCAACATAAGAAGTGAGACTGTAAAAGACTTTACAGGACTCATCACCACTGATTCTTAACAAACTTTCAGTGAGGTCAGAATGTTTTTATTTATTTCTTAACAAACATACACTGAGCATCTACTCTGCCCTGCACTAAGCTTGCCAGTTGCTGTGATCTCTGCTTTTCTTCACTAGTACATAATGTATACATTCCTTGTGTATATAACACATCTTAATTCCTTTTTTTAATCCTCTTTCTCTCCCATCCCTCTCCACTCCCTCTGTCTCTTGATCCCCTTTCCATTTGAGAAGAATCATTTTCCTGCTTCCTATTATTTACCTTTTATCTTGCCTTTATCTATAGTTTGGGTTTCTCCTATAAGAGAAACCATGTGATATTTAAACTTGTGTGTCTGATTTGTATCACTTAACAGTATGGTGTCAGAGTGCATCCATTTTCCTACAAATGACTCAAGTTTATTCTATTTGTGACAGAGTAATACTCCACGTTGTGTACATACGGTATTTTTTTATCCATTCATCTGTTGATGGACATACAGCCACTTTGAAGATTTAGCTGTTACGAATTGTGATGCTATGAGCATACGTATGCATGTATCACTGCAGTATGATGTCTTTAAATCTTTTGGGAAGATACCTAGAAGGGGAATAGCTGGGTCAAGTGGAATTTCTACTTTCAGTTTTTTCAGGAATTCCATACTGATTTCCACAGTGGTTGTACTAATTTACATTCTCACTAAAAATGTAAAAGAGTTCCTTTCTCCCTACATCCTCACCAGCATTTGTGATTATTTGATTTCTTGATTATGGCCATGCTTTCCAGGGTAAGATGGGATCTCTGAGTTGGTTTAATTTGTATTTCTTTAATGGCCAGTGATGTTGAACATTTCTTCATGTATTTATTGGCTATTTCTACTTTGTTTTCTGTGAAATATCTGTTCATTTCACTTACCCATTTTTTGTTCGGGTTATAAAGAAAAAATTATTCTGGATTAGAAGAAAGCCACTTGTTGTGAAGGATGGCTTCATAGTAAAATTACAATCATCATTTTAAAATTAAACTTTTTCAAGCGTTGGCTTAAAAACCATTATATTGACCTTGTTTTTCACTTTAAAAAATATTATTTCTCAATATATCATCTATTCTCGTGGTTTATATACTGAAAACCATTTAGAAAAATAGCTTGAAATGAGGATCTCACTCCCACCCCATCCCCATCTACCCGATTCACCCAAATCTACCTAACTCACTGCCACTTCCTCCTTTGATACAGGTAATTGTTTATTAATTTATCAAGTGTATGTCCAGTATCTCTTCATGCAAAATAAAAAATATATATTTAAAATGTTTCCATCTTTCTTACATGAAAAGTAGCGTACAGTTGTCTAGTTCTTCACATGGATTGTTAATTCTGCACTATATCTTGAGATTTGGCCAAGCTATAGACGTTCACCCATAACTCAGTTTATATGCAAGCAGGATAAACTACCAGAAATGAATTGCTGAGCTAGTAGGCAAATACTTTCTGAATTATCTTTTCTATAGTGCTATTTCTCTGGTTATTTTAAGCTTGTGTTTTTATATCACTTGTTTAGGAGTTTTGAAAAATGAGGAAAAAGTTCAGATATGAAACGCATATAAAATAAATTAATTAGAAACTCATCTTTGAGCTGGGAATATAGTTCAGTGGCACAGTTCCTACCTGGCAAATGCAAGATCCTGAGTTCAATTCCTCGTACCAAAGCAAGCAAAGAAAAAAATAGAAACTCTTCTTTAAAGTAACAAAGAAGATGAAAGGTAGAATAGAATTCCAGTAACTTTGAATAAAGTGACATAGATATATTATTTGAATAAATGTAACAATGTCTTTTATTTTTATTATGTTTGCATCATAGGACTATTTCATTTGCTTAAATAGCTCACTAATTCTCAGAACATTTAATGAGTTAAAGGTATAATTGACTCCTGTGTGTGTATGTGTGTGTGTGTGTATGTGTATATATTTAAAGAATTACATGACTTGCCCCAACTAGCAAGTTATAGCCAGGATGTATATCCAGCCGTGTGACAACAAACTTGACCTCTTTCCATGAACCATATCTCATTAGTGGGGATTTGTGTCTTATATCTGGCTTAGCTTCATATGACATAAATTTGTTCAACTTGCTAATTGCCATACTGATGTATCTCAATCATATGTGATATTTTCTCAGGAGGCTATTTTTTAAAACTTGTAAGTAGTTTATTTCTAATTTCTGAGTACAGGAAATCATCCCTACAGTTTTCTCTTGTTTTGCACATGACCTTGTTGTCCAAGTTGAGCGCTCTGTCTCCTGATCTTAGTCAGCAGTAAATCTTGACAGAGGAATTCTCTTTAAGTTCATGTGCTCACTTTCAGCCTTCAGGAAGGAGGAGTTGTTTTTAAATAAAACCTTGTCTTGGCCCTCCTGCAGGGGCTGTGGAAAGTAGACTGTTTTCTTTATTTTAAATTCACACTCAGACATTTTCATAAGGGCTTCGTCATAGCAAAATGGGCCCCACATAGAAACTATCCACTTCCCTGAAGCGTGATTGATTAGCAAGGCTGTTCTGCTCAAAGGCAGCCTGTTTTCCTGAGCTGGGATGTTGACAGGTCCGACATGCACAAATTTTAAAACAGGTCACCAGTTCCTGGGCTGAAGGCTGTGGGCCCAGATGCTTGCTCTTGAGAGAGAAGGACGGAGAAAGAATCCACAGCAGGGAACAGGAGAAGCTATGGGGATCAGGAATCACTCCGTATTATAGAATTCCTGAAACGTGGCAGCACTAGCCAGTACAGTCCCTGTTGCACAAGCTCCTGCTGGTGTTAGGTGCCAAAAAGAAAAAGCCATGGCTGCAGGAGAAGTATGAAGAAAAGTGAATTTAGAGATGTGTAGACAGTGCCTGTGCAAATAGGTGTGAGCCCCATTTGACTGAGAATCTCTAAACAGCAAAGCAAGGCATAAACTTAAAGGGAGAAATCTGATTCCTAATCAAAGTAGCCTGTGATAGAAGTTTAGAAATACAGCCAAGCGGTGACACCCTAAACAGGATGAGGTACGGATCATGTCTTTGCATGTTTGTCTGCTTTGTGGCATCTAGCAGAGTGTCTTTTACAGAGTAGAACCTAGGTAAATATTTAGTCACAAAATGTTAGGGCTGAAAGTAAGTGTACAAACTATTCTTTCAGGCCTTACCATTTTGGACATAAGTAAACCGAGGTGCAGACAGGTTGGTTAAAAGGCCTCAGGTTCTTTTCCTGAGGCAGAACCATGTCCTACAAATCTTAGTAAAGTGAATTGTTATAAAATTACTTTGCCAATATTCTAATGATTGCTGTGTGAATGAATTTGTCATGGCTTGGATTGTCCCCCAAAGGCCCATTTGCTGAAGGCTTGGCTGCCAAGCCTGTGGTGCTACTGGGATCTGGCAGAACCTTGAGGAGGCAGCACCCACTGGAAGGACACTGGAGGTATGCCCTGGAAGGGGAACTGGGACCCTGATGCCTTCCTCTTTCTCTCTTTGCTTTCTGGCCACTGTGAGGTGAACAGATCTACTCCTCCATGGGCTCCCACAGTGATATTCTGCATTCCCTTGGGTCCAAAACAACAGGGCTAAACAACCAGAGACTTAAACCTCTGAAACTGTGAGCCAAAATAAACTTTTTCCCCTTTTAGGTACTTGTCACAGAGTTGGAAAGCTAACATAGAATGAATCAATTAATTTGTTTTAATGAAACCCGTGTATAAGCCACTCATTCAATAAAATCACATACAGTCATCTACTTACTTCACTTATATCTTAATTATAGGAAATCATCCCAGGAATATCTGTTGGGGGTGTTGGGCGAAGGATGAACTGTAAAGATGAACTGACTAGTATCTTTTGAAAGACTTTCAAGATTCTGAGTTTCCAGACATTTTGCCTATCTTACAGAAAGTCTTAAATGTCAGAGTTAGATGAAAACACCGAACTTTTCTTACAGTGATTTCTTATATGCTCAAGGCTGTAGGTAGACTGGTATGAAAAATTCTGCCCAAGGCTGAGAGTGGTTTTCAAATACACTTTGTAAACCAGGTATCAGTGTAACTGAGGCGGGGAAATCATGAAGAAAGTCCCCACCTCTTGTGACCCGTGCCGCCCAGTTAATGGAGGAGGTTCCATGGCTTATTCAGCTCACCCTGATGGACGGAGCCTGGAGCAGCAGGCTCCAATACTTCATATAAGGTATACCCATGGTCCACTGTCAGTTCTGTCATTTTTGTCTCTTGATTATCATATGACCTCAGAGAGGAGAAAAAAAAAATTTATTTATTCAGTTTTTTATTTTAAAAAGAAAAAAACCCCAAAATTTCAAAACAAGATAATAGGAGGGTAACAATGGTTAATACATTGCATATTGTTATCTTTAAATTAGTTTTTCAGAGTACAAGATATAGGCAATTGATTGTCCAAACATATTAGCAAAAACCTTTCTTTTCAACGAACTAAGAGAAATTAGTAATGTAACTATCATGTGTGTGTGTGTGTGTGTGTGTGTATATATATTTTTTCTTTTCCCTTCCTTTTTTTCTGCTTTCCCCCATCTGAGTTTATCTTTCCTTTTGAACAGTTTCTTCCCATTTTACAATATTCATTGTACATTTTGGATCTGATTTACTCTTTCAGCTTCTCACACTAGGGAGACAATACAGTGTTTGCACATGTGCATCTGGTTTATTTCACTTACAAGTATGGTCTTGAGCTGCATCCATTTACCTATAAAAGTCTCCAGTTCATTCTTCTTCATGGCTGAGTAGTATGCCATTGTATAAAAGTACCACATCATTTTTATCCATTCCTCAGATTTTGTTTCCAAAATCTAGCTATAAACATGGGTGCACGTATATCACTGTGGTATGATGCTTTAATTCTTTTGGAAAGATACTCAGAAGGGGAATACCTGGGTGGAATGGGACCTCTAATCCTAGCTTTTTGAGGAATCTCCATACTGATTTCCACAATAGTTGCATCAGTCTGCACTACTACAAACAGTGGAGAAGGGTTCCCTTTTCCCCCGCAGCCCCACCAGCACTTATTATTGGTGGATTTTTTGATGATAGCATTCTTTCTGGAGTCAGATGGAACCTCAGCATTGTTTTAATTTACATCTTTCAAATGACCAAGGATGTTTAACCTTTTTTCATATATTTACTTTATGTTTGTACTTCTTCATCTGAGAAGCATGTATTCATTTCTGATGCCCATTTTTGCATTGAGTTTTTAAATTTGGGAGGTCTGATATTTTTGAGTTCTCTATATGTTTTTGATAGTAATCCTTTGTCTGAGGAACAGCTGGCAAACATTTTTTTCCCACATTATGGATTGTCTCTTCACTCTGTTTGGTAGTTTCTCCTGCTGTGCAAAAGCTTTTTAATAAGATGAGGTCCCAGTTGCTGATTCTTTGTCTAGTTCCTCTGCATTTGGGGTTTTATTCATAAAGTCTTTGCCTACATTAATGTCTTCAAGAGTTTTATCTATTCTATCTTCCAGCAGATTTAATGTTTCTGTTTTACTATTTAATCTTTCATCCACTTCAAATTCAGTTTAGTGCATGGTGAAAGATATGAGTCCATTTTTAATCTTCATCATTTGTAGAGCCAGTTTTTCCACCACCATTTATTAAAGAGGTTATCTTTCTTCCAGTGAATGTGTTTGGCACCTTTGTCCAAGATAAGATGACGGAGTATTTCTGGAATTGTTTCTGCATCTTCTAATCTGTTGTATTGATCTGTGAATTTGTTATTTGTGTGCAGGAAGGCTGTTGGTTTTTGAGTGCTGATTTTGTATCCAGCTATGCTACTGAATTTGCTTATTAAATCTAATCAGTTTTTAGTGGAGTTTTGGGGGCCTTCTGTGTAGAGTATCAGGTCTGTTTTTTTTGCCAGTACCACACTGTTTTTTATCATAGCAGCTTTATAGTATAATTTCAAGTCAGGGATTGTGATGTCCCCTGCTTTGCCTTTGTTGCCCTGAATTGCCTTTGCTATTCTAGGCTTCTTCTGGTTCCAAATGAATTTTATTATTGTTTTCTCTAATTCTGTGAGATATGTGTTGGAGTTTTTACTGGACTTGCATTAAGTCTGTATAACAGTTTTGGACATATGACCATTTTCACTATATTGGTTCTTCCTACCCGAGAGCAAGGTGTATCTTTCCATTTTCTGATATCATCTTCAATATCCTTTTTTAGAGTATAGTAGTTTTCAATGTAGAGGTCTTCTATATTAGATTGATTCCTAGGTATTTCATTTTTTTGGATGTTATTGTGAAAGGTGTTGTTTCCCTATTTTCTGTCTCAGCAAGTTTGTTTTTTGTGTACAGGAAGGCTGTTAGTTTTTGAGTGTTGATTTTGTATCTAGCTGTGCTACTGAATTTGCTTATTAAATCTAATCAGTTTTTAGTGGAGTTCTAGGGTCTTCTATGTAGAGTATCATGTCATCTGCAAATAATGATAATTTAACTTCTTCCATTCCTATCATTATTCCTTTTATTTCTGTCTCTTGACTAATTCCTCTGCCTAAAGTTTCTAAGACTATGTTGAATAAGAGTGGAGACAGTGGACATCCTTTTCTTGTTCCTGATTTTATAGTGAAAGCTTTCAGCTTTTGTGCATTTAGTATGATGTTGGCTGTTGGTTTGTCATAGATGGCTTTTATCAGATGGAGATAAATAGCATATATTCCAATTTTCTGCAGGGTTTTTTTTATCATAAATGGATGCTGGACTTTGTTAAACCTTTTTCTGCATATATTGCGATGATCATATGATGTTTGTCCTTGGTCTGTTAATGTGGTGTATTACATTTATTGATTTATGTGTGTTGAGTGTCCCTGCATCCTGGGATAAAGATAGCTTGGTCATGGTGTATAATCTTCTTGATGATTTTCTGTATGCCAGTATCTTATTGAGGATTTTTGCATCTATGTTCATTAGGGCAATTGGTCTGTAATTCTCTTTTTCAGTTGAGTCCTTCTCTGGTTTTGATGTCAGGGTAATGCTTGCTTCCAGGAATGAATTTGGGATTATTGCTTCCCTCTCAATTTCATTAAGAGTTTGAGAGCTAGTGGTATTAGTTCTTCCCTAAATTTCTTGTAGAATTCAGCAGTGAATACATCAGAGCCTGGGGTTGTCTTTGCTGGTAGGTTTTTAATTACATCTTAAATTTCATTGATTGATACTGGTTTATGTAGGAGTTTTGTATCTTCTTGATTCAGCTTTTGTAATTCATATATATGTAGGAATCTGTCCATTTCTTCTGCATTTTCCATCTTATTAGAATACAAGTTTTCAAAGTAGGTACAGATGATCTTCTTAATTTCTGTAGGATCTGTTGTGATTTCACCCTTTCATTCCTAATTGCATGGGTTTGAGTCTTTGCTTTTTGATAAGGTTAGATGAGGGTTTGTTGATTTTATTTAATCTTTTGAAGAACCAACTGTTCAATTCATTGATTCTTTGTATTTTTTTTTTAGTCTCTAATGCTTTAAATTTTGCTCTGATTTTTATAATTTCCTCCCTCATGTGAGCTTTAGGATTAGCCTGCTCTTCTTTTTCTATAAGTTTGAGGTTCCCCATTAAGTTGTTTATTTGTGCTTACTCTGTTTTCCTGATATGGGTATTCACTGCTATAAATTTTCCTTTTAGGATTGCTTTCTTTGTGTCTATTGTCATTATCATTTAATTGTAGAAACTGTCTAATTCCCTCTTTAATTTCATCTGTGACCCATTCATTTTTCAGGAGGGTGCTATTTAATTTCCATGTGTTTATAAAGTTATTTATTTTGCCATTGATTTCCAATTTCATTGCACTATGGTCTGATAATATGCATGGGATAGTTGCAATTCCTTCACATTAACTTAAGCTTGTTCTATGAGCTAGTATGTGGTGTTTTGGAGAATGTCCCATGTATAGCTGAGAAGCATGTGTATTCTGATGCTCTGGGGTGGGACACTGTAGACATCTACTAAGTCCATTTGTTCAAATGTTTGGTTTAGTTCTAATATTTCATTGTTGATTTTTTGTCTAGTTGCTCTGTCTTTTTGTTGCAGTGAGGTATTGCAATCCCCCAGTATGATTGTATTTGTGCTTATTTGAGTTTTCATGCCTGTTAATATTTGTTTTATACAGTTGGGTGCATAGTATTTGTTGCATATATATTTATGATTGTTATCTCTTTCTTTTGGAGTATTCCCTTTACAAGGATATAGTGACCTTTTTTATCTCTTGGCTTGAAATTCACTTTGTTTGTAAATAGAATACCTACCCCTGCTTTTTCAGGTTCCTGTCATGTGGAGTGTTGTTTTCCATCCTTTGACTTTCAGTCTATGAATTTGTTTTTTAATTAAATGTGTTTCTTGTACACAGCATATTGTTGGATCTTGCTTCTTGATCCATTTTGCCAGTCTGTGTCTTTTGATTGGTGAATTGAGACCATTAACATTGATGGTTATAACTGATATGTATTGACTTGTCCTTGCCATATTATTTTCCTGTTGTTAACACCCCCCATTTTCCCCTGTGTTTAATTGTTTGCCTTGCCTGGTAGATTCCTTCTGTTGGAGTTCATAGAGTTGTAGTCCTTATTATCTCTTTCTAGAATGTCCTTCAAAACATTTAGGAGTGCTTGTTTGGTGGTCATAAATTTCCTCAGCTATTCTTTGTCATGTGAATATCTTATTTCTCCATCACTTTTGAAAGATAGTTTTGTGGGTACATCAATCTAGGTTGGAGGTTGTTTTTCTTTAGAGCTTGAAGTATTTTACTAGAAGCTCCCCTTGACCTGAGGATTTGTGCTGATTATCTATCTGTGAGTCTGATGGACTTTCCTTTATAGGTAATTTATTTCTTTTCCCTGACAGCGTTTAAGATTCTATTCTTATGTTGAATTTCTGGCATCTTTATTATGATATGCCTGGCTGTAGATTTTTTTTGATCATGGCTAATTGGAGTTCTGTATGCCTCACTTACTATATTTTGCTCTACCATGGAAGTTTTCTATCATGTCTTCTGTGAACAGTTTTTTAATATCATTTGTGCTATCTCCTGCTTTTTCATTGACTCTAATCAATCTTAAGCTATTCTTCCTTGCCTCATCTAGTAGCTGCTGGATTGATTTCTTATGGTCCTTTGCTATTTTTAAGGAATCTTTCTTTTCATAATCACTAACTGCAAGCCTGTCTTCTCTGTCTGAGATCCTGTCCTCACATTGGCTTAATCTGCTGCAGATACTTTCAGTGTAGCTTTTATTCTCCTGGATATCAGCTTTAACCTGCTTTGTGGATTCCATTTCTTTCTTATGCTTAGCATTCATTCATGGCTTCCATACTTTTCTTAACTCCTTTTTTTTGTTTTTGTCTGTATCTGCTCTAGAGTCATTAAGCATGGTTTTCATTGTGGATACCATCTCTGCAGTTATCTGAGAAATTATTTCTGATCTGATTTTTTTTTCTAGAGCCTCATCCAATTGCTTTGTTCCTACCACCTCAGAGAGGCCATATTGTCCCACCTCATTGCCCCCTAGGTTTGCCTTTGGTGAGCTGGATGTCTGGGGTTGCATTTTGTTTAAATGTATTCTATTTTCTTTTCTATTTTTAGCTTAATTTGTGGGATGATGCTTGTAAATGGACTATCATGGGTTGCTATATTGCTAGTATTTAAACCCTTAGGAAATCACTACTTCTGTGAGGTATCTTCCATGTGTAGATGTGTTTTGGGTTTTGAGTCTGTTCCAAGATCCTACATCCTACATCTTCAGTTTGTTTTGGATGAGAAGTTGCTGCCTATTTAGCCTAGCACTGTGCCACAGTATTTTCTATGACCCTTAGTCAGTCTCAGTCTGGAAGTACAAGGAAGAATAGGTGTGTAGAACAATTACGTCACTTTTGGCTAAAGTGGTACCATCAGCAGTAGCATTAGCAGTAATTACAGCCTAGAAAATAACAAACTGAGGTATCCATTAATTTGCCACCTAACCGTATGAATTAGATTTGTAATTATATAATAAAATCTAAAACAGACCAGAAAATTAGATACAGTATATAAGTCCTTAATAAGTCAACTTTACCCTCTGTAATTAAAATTTAAAAGGGGTTAGGAAAAAATAGGGAGGTACAAGAAGAGGAAGAGATTAGAAGTAACACTGGATAAGAAAGGGGGATCAGCTAACTTTGTGAAACTACTGAAGATGTCTGGAGGGAAAGAGAGAAGGAAGAGATAAAAAGAACAGAACAGAACCACAACCACAAAGATTCTAGAAACCACATTCACATGCATATAAAAACAATATCAAACAATGGAGAAAAAAAACAAAAGCAAAACCACCACCACAACAACAAAAAACAAATGTGAGAGAGAAAAAATGTCCACTTCCAGGTTTGTTGCAGCTGTCAGTAGTAGAGAGCATATGGAGACAGAGTCCCAATCCATGTTGATTTATACCAGCAAGCTAGCAGTAGCTTTTTGCCAGGGTAGTGGAAAATCTCAGCAAGCCTGCACCTTCAGGCTGAGACCAGTCTCATTTGCCCTACAGCCATCAGTGCACCTTCTGCAAGCCTGAGTCCAGCTGGGAGCTGCTAGATGGAGCCCACAGCTGTTCTAAGTTCTAAGCTCAGTCAGGTGAAACTTCACTCTCTCATGCAGGACACCTGAGCCCTCAGCACTCACCTCCAGCTAGTGCAGTCCTTTATGTATCATGCTCTCCTCCACCACTGTGTCTCTCTTTGAGGCCTCTGGGATCTCCAGCAGTCACCATGTGTCCTTGGGTTTGAACAGCTCCTCTTGCACAGTGATTCCTGTCTCAGGGAGAAGGTGCCACCAGCTACCTCCTTCTTCTGAAGTTTTTCTCTTCCCTCTGTCTGTGCACTTCAGTTCATGCTTCAGATCCTTCCTGGGTCTAGGGGACCCTCCTCCCTCCCTCTTGTCTTCTTCGTGTTGCTGTATCCCAGCAACTGTCAGAGAGGCTTTTTGTCTGCTGCTCACCACTCTGCCATCTCGGTGCCTCCCTGAGAAAAACTTTTTGTGTCCTTTCAAAGATACATTTGACAGAGTCAGTTGTTCTGAGTAAATTTTGATACCTGACAAAAGAAGGTCTGGAATTGTTCTTTCCTCTACAAGGTATGAAGGGTCAGATATTATCACCCCTTCAGGGATATAAAACACTGGGGATATAAAATATTTTGTCGTCCACTGAGAACATTTTAGAAGCCCTTTTATCAGTGTCTATGACTCTGCTACATATTTGGTTTCCTGTGTCATAAAGAAAAACCTGCAAAGAACTAAAAGTAAGGATTCTAATGAAGTGTGGGTTCTACATTCTATTTGGTGTGGGAGGCTGTGTAACTCTAACTCTAAGAATACCGGTAGTGGTATCTATCTACATTCTAAGAATTTAGGGAGGTGAGGTTTACGTAAAATGAAATCACCCCATCATATCTGTGAGGCTTTCTGCAGAACGAAAGTAAAAATAAACCCAAACAAACAAAACAGGAATATGGCTGAAAACAGTAAGATGTGTGGAATCACACTGAAAATTAGTTTGCTCAAAATCCTTCTGTTTTGATTGGTATATATATGGGGTTGTTTTGTTTTGTTTTGTTTGTTGTTAGGGTTTGATCCTTACTACCATATTTACCACATGTGTGGTTGGAAATTTCAAGGTTTTCTTGGTTAAAAAAAAGAGAGAGAAGACATTCTGCTACCCACACCACAGGTGAAATGTAAAGAACCTAGCTATGATATGCCCACAGTACCTATGTGTATGTGTGTCTGTGTCAGTACATCCCTGTGTGTTTTTGCATGTGTCTGTGCCTGTGTGCATGTGTGTTTGTGTATGGGTATCAGTATATATCTGTGTCTGTGTGTGTGTGTGCATGTCTGTGTGTGTCTCTGTGGCCCTGTATGTAGTCTGTATGTGTGGGAACAGTACATGGCTTAGTTGTGCCAAACCTTCCTTCAGCATCACAGTTCTCTTCTTCTGTAACCTGTAGCTACTTTGTTGTATTAGAAAAACAAACATAACTACTTTTTTACAAAATAAAGATCAAATAACTTAAAAGCCTCAAATGAAATTGACTTTATGACACAATATTAAAAAACACACTTTCCATGGAGAAAACCCCACACCAGATGGAGGAAGACAGACCAATTTAAACTGAGTTTTCTGCCAGTTTCGTATTTCTTGTCTACCCTCCATTCCCATTTGCCAACAAAACAATGCTTTTTCAGGCTGTCCACTTCACCTGTCCACATCAGACTAATAGTAGGTTTCACTTGGATTTAAAATAGTTGGTGACTGGAGAACAATGAGGATGGGAGAGTGAATGTTACATTATTTTGTGAAAGCTTTCTACCTCTTCTTCCAACTTTCCTCTCTTACCTTCCTTTCTCCCCCCATCTTCTTCTCCTTTATTCCTTTCTCTTTTTTCTTGTTGGTGATATTTCTCCTGATTTACTACATATGAATGTGCAAAAAGCCAACCGAAAAAGTGATTGATACCACCCAGCCACTGTTCCTCTCAGGAAGCTGCACTGCAGGAGCTTCACTGAAAACATAGCAATAGTTTGATGTTCCATGGCATGCTGCATATTTCTTGCAGGACAGATTGCAGCAGAACATGGTGACAGAAATCCATGTAGTGAGTTCTCACTGCATGACAGAAAGGCACTAAGCCCTGTTTTCACTGTCTATCTTCTGCAAACTTCTAGCAATTGGGAACATTTCCCCATTTTCAGACAAGGAAACAGAGACTCAGAGTGAGTGAATGATGTATCATGGGTGGTCCAGCTAAGACATGATGGGATAGGGAGGAGATTGGTAGCTGGACCCATGTTGAACTGTGAAGGCCAGTCTCTTTTCATTTCAGCATTCTTGCAAGGACCCAGGCATTCAGGTGCACATGGAAATCTGTTTCAACCAGTATGTATTTGGCAGCCACGTATCACCAAGTCACAACTTACCTATTTCAGAAAAACATTATTTTTTTTCATCTGTGCATAAGCCATCCTGTTTTCTGTTCCAAGAAATCAAAACATGTGAAGAAGATAGATTTGAAGAATTGTTTTCTTTAACCACTTCTGGTGGTATAATGCAATTGGGAAGACAAAGTCTTACTGCTAAAATGTCAGCATCATCATTTCTGATACATATTTATGGTTAAAGGGAAAGTAAATTGTAACATAGAATTAAGAGATGCAAGAAACATGGGACAACCATAGCAGTGATGGTTCCAGGTATGAGAAAATTCAAGTCCTTCACTGTCCCCAGCCTTCCTGGAAGGCATTTTTAAAAAATCAAATATATTTTAAAATTTTCATATATTTTTAACTAACAAAAATTGTATATAAAGGCTTTTGTATTTTATCCTGTGTGATAAAGGACCACATTGTTCTTTCTTACTGCCTGAGTTAACTAAGCGTATTAACTGCAAGCAGTGTTGAGCTCTCATTAATTTTCCATAGACTCAGTTGGCTTTGATCTTTTCATTTCAAAGCCAAGGAGATAGGAGAAGGTGGGGGGAGAGAGAGAGAGAGGGAGAGAGAG